CTTGCAGGCACTTGAGATGGTGCCAAAGAAGATACATCAAAGGTCTCCCATATTTCTTGGCAGTTAGCTGATGTTGAAGAAATTAGAGTACCGATGAGAAGAAGAAATAAATGTACAAAGTAATCTCCAGCTTTCCTGTGGTACTTAACATAGCCTTATATGTTATTCTTGATTTTAATAATTTGAAAACCAAATATGAATTAGAATATATTATTTATTGAATTGATTTGGATTGGAAGTTGATTTACTTGTGAATATATGATTTATTGCTAATAATATTGAATTAATTTTCAAATATTAAGTTTTGAATATGTTTCCTTTTTTGTGAAAGTCCATTTAATTATATGATTATATTTACTTGTTGTGGGAAGCCAAAAACAAGAAATGCATTCTACAGTTGAGGTTCTAAACCCACTCTTGGGACAAGGTTTAGAACCCTTAATAATTCTGTTTTTTGCCCTAAAGGTAGATTTCAACCTTTCATGTTGAAGACTTTCAATAACTTATCATACTTGGGTTATATTCTTTTCAAATGAGCTCCAATGGTCATGAAACATTGATTGAGCATTCTCAAACTATAAAACAAGATCTGGAAGAATGGAGAAGGCACGAAAAAATAGACCTTTTAATTTGAAAAACAAAGAGTGATTGAGCTTCTATCTTGTGCCTTGAGAAATCTATTATTTTCTTGTTCTCTTTCATGGTAACAAGTGAGAGAGGGATTAGAGAATCCTTGTTAGATCTAGGAATCTATCCTTGAGGTATAGGAAGGGCTGAGAGATTTGTAACAAGGGAATTGAATGATTCAATAGCACCTGTAAGCTATTGGAAAGTGATTGGGTAACCTTATTAGATCTAGAGAAAACCAACCTTGTGGTATAGGATTGGGCTTGTAAGAGATTGTAACAAGGGGTTGAATTGTTGAAGGTAGATAGTGCCAACAAAACTATTGCAAATAGTTGCCTCTACACTCAAAAGTTGGAGAAAAGCTTTTGAATCCAAAGCAAACTCTCAAGCAGCGGCTTGAGGAGTGGAATAGGCATAAATTGTGACTGAACCACTATAAATCCTTATATTTGAGCTTTGTCTTCTCTTAACTTTTAATTTCTGCCCTTTAAATTAGTTGTTTGCAATTGTTTGTGCTTGCTCATTGTTTTGTTTTTTAAAATTGCATAAAATTTTTGAAAACCCAATTCACTCCCCCTCTTGGGTTGCAATCATCTAAGCCAACATTATAGACCAAATTCTAATAATCTTTGTTCAAAGATTAGGACAAAATATAATTTTTAACTTTTAACATTGAATTTGTAATTGTAATAATGATACAAACAATTATGTTGATGTCGTATTTGGAGTAAATGTACATTTCCTCCAAAGATTATATTTCAACATCAATCACTTTATTTAGTGTATAAATAAGATAAGATGGGGAAACATAATGATGAGTTTTATATATAAGCACATTCAAGTTTAACTTCCAAACATATATATACACATTTCAAACAGGCATATGTTATACAAACAGACACTATAATCTATATATGAAAGCCTAAATTTTTTTTTTTTTGAAAAGCAAAAGAATTTTATTAAATGAGTACAAGGGGTACTCAAACCTATAAACATCAGTAGAAAAAACAAAAGCTAATAGTGGGGCCTAAAAACAGAGAAACAAAAGCCACCCCAATCAAAGAACTTGGGAGCCAACTTCCCACCTATTCTCTATTTCCTGTTAGTCAAGCATCTCACTAGTTTAGAAATCCATTCCATAAAAGAAATGTATTCTAGGTTCAATAGAGTTCTAACCCAGTGAAATGGGTTGATTTGTACCCATTCGAACAACTTATCCTCATTAAGCTCCTTATGTTGAAAAGTAATTTCATTCCTACTCAATCACAGTGACCATACTATGGCAAACCATATCATATACCAGCCCTTTTTCATACTTTTTGAACCCTTATGCCATCTATGCTGGTGAAAAACCTCCAAGCAAGTGTTCTCAAGAACATAGTGTAAACCCCACCTATTGAGGCATCTTGTCCATAATTTGAAAGAAAATTTGCAAGATACAAAAAGGTGGTATGTATGTTCAAGAAATGAATCACACCAAAAACACTTGGTATTTTGATTAGCATCTCCACCCATACATCTTGCCAGAATCTAACGGTCTTCCCCTCCCCCAAATTCGTATGAAAGTCTAAAAATTGTTCAATACACACATTAACAACATAGTTTGTACCTAAATATATAAATTGTCTCGAGCATAAGGAAACAGATATTTCCTACTTAAGAATGACCTGTAAGATTGTGAGAACCAAGATGGTAATGGCAAAAGCTTGAGAAATAATAGCCCATGGCTTAGTAAAATAGTTGTGGATGTAAAAAGCTCGCCATTTTGGCCACCACCTCTGGCAATAATCTCTCACATCCGAGCAAAGTCGAGCATAATACAAACAGTCCATATTGGTGCCATTGTGTAGTCTGTTGACGAAGTGAGACACATCTTCAGCACTTAACCAGTTATTAAAAATGTCATCTCTGGACAGTAAATCCACATCCTCAGGGGTGTCCACAAGTCCATTTAGGAGCTTTGCATAACAGGTGACTTTAGGAGGGTGGAAACGGTAACATTGCTCGAAGCTGATGAGGTTGCGGAAGATTGTTTCGGTTGTTGGGTGAATGAGTAAAGAGGGGATTTCAAGAACACCGTTGTTCAACTTTACATCCAAGATTCTTCTTGACTTAACTCTTCTGAATTTGATTCCTGCCTGTCGAAGCCTAGTAGCAGAAGGAATATTATGCCTGTTTAGCGCAAAGTGTTCACCGTCGCTTCTGGGTGGTTCTGATGAGCGGCCCAAATAATGCCATGCAAGATCGAGGATGTGGTTGATCCTTAATGGCCGTAACTGAAGTTTGTCATATGAAAATATCCAGTAGAAAACATCAATTGCAAGTGCAACCAAAGGCTTGTCTTGTTCTGAGACTCTGGTCTGCTCATACAAGCGCTCAAGCACAAACCAAGGTATTTGGTTTTCTATCAAAAAGAGGTCATGACACCAAATCGGACACATGGCATTGGAGAAGATGAACAGATCACTGTAGTGTACAGCTATGAGCGCATTCAACTTCCGAAGCATCTCAATAATAAAGCAGCCATCCAACAGCAAAATTTTCTCGAACTCTTGTCTGCTGTCGACATTGATGGCTCCCCAACCCCCATAGCATTCAAGAGCTTCGTTCTTCACCTGGGATATGACAACTTCCAACTCTTTAATCTTATCATCTGGACTTGGGAAACGACAGACAAGTTGTTCAAGAAAGTACATTTTGTACTTTTGGGCATCCATTAGGTGTGGTTTGCCAAAGTGCCAGGGACCAAGTGAAAAGAAATATGGCTCATAAGCCTGTGGATTTTGCATTTTGAGCGTGTCTGGAACTCTGAAGATGCAGGTAGCTGGGGAGATGGTAGAATCCTCTAAAAGCAATTTTTTGTACTTGATTGTCCAATGGACATCCAATGCGAGGTGTTCGGCGCGGTTATCACCCTCTGCCATGAATGGATCTCTTTGCAACTCTTCGATTTCTCCTCTCCTTACTGGAGTATGGCACATTGACATGCGTTAGGTGTTGGTTAAAAACTTCAAAATAAGATTCTGATTTCCTTTAAAACAAGTAAAGATAATTAAGATGTACCAAAAAACAAAAAAAAGTAAAGATAATTAAGAAAAAATAACATTTTGCTACATGCCATTTTTGGACAAAAAGGTCAAGGATGCTTCATCGGCAGATAGATGATTCTGCTGATGGGGGGACCTACAAAACCGTATATCAAACAAAACAAACACCAGCAAAGAAACAAAAGGGTGTTAGATTGTGTTATTGCTCCATCTCTCCTCTCCCCCAAAATAATCTTAGGAGTAATATTTTACTCAAATTATTTGTTTTTTTATTATTTAAGTTAAATAAATATTTTTACTATTTTATTCCTATCATTATCACTTAGTTTTAATTATTAACCTTTATCACTGAAATTAGCATTTTCCAACATGCTTGTGAGTTGTTGTAATGTATGTCTTTTAAAAGAAGAAGAAAAAATTATTAGAATTAGATAATAAAATTAAATATGGTATATAGAAACATGTGATATTAAATAATTAGTTTATAGATGTTTTGATAGATTTAAGAGATTTTTTAATACCTTGTGATAAAAATTTGTAAAATTAAAATTATTATTACCAAACTTAATTTATTTTGATTTGATTTAAAATATAATTAATTTTGAGACAAAAATAAAATTTTTTTCAAACATATATAAAATAAAAAATAATTACTACAAAAATAGCCTCAAATAGAAAAAGACACAAAAATCCATACAAATGAAAAATGATACTCCTTCCATCCATTTTTAATAAATCTAATTTGATTTTTTGACTTTTAAGATAAAAATTTTAAATAAAAATTTAATGATTTATATGAATAATAATTGAAATTTTTTTATCCTCATATAGTTTTTTTAAAATATTTTTATTTGATCAAAATAATTTTCAATTGTTATTTATATAAATTATTAAATTTTTACTTAAAATTCATACATTAAAAGTAAAAAAGTGAAATTAAATTTACTAAAAATAAACAGAAGAAATATAAAATTTAATGTATTTACAAAATGGATAAAATTTTATAAAGATTGCACCAATTATTATTACTCTACTTAAAATTTTTACCTATTAAAAATATCTTTAAAAATTAAAGTATTTATAAAATTATCAAAAAGTCAAATTCATTTTAAGATTGACTAAGAAATACAAAAGAGAGAAAAATGGAGATAGTAGAGTTGACTTATCTTCCTCGCTGCTCTTTAGATTTTGACGGGCATGTGGTAATACAATACTAGTAATTTTGGAGAAATAAAAAATAAAACGCCGCATTTATGAAAAACAAAAGAAAAATACTAAAATTGCTCTCTTTGTTTGCTCGACAACTAAAACCATTTAAAGCATTATAAATTATAAAGGGTGTTTCGTAAAATCTTAATTAAATTTAGTTGTTTTAATTTGATGTTTATATAAAATTTTATTATATAAATTTATATAGTAAATAGATAATAATTGAAAATTTTATATATATATATAATACTTGTTAAATATTTTTATTTAGATAAAAAAATTAATTATTATTCATTTACTATATAAATCATTATGTCAAACTATATGTAAAAGTTAAATTGGACAAATATATCTAACTAGAGCTAATAATTGCTTTAAAAACAAAATTTTTCTCTTATAAATTCAAAATTTTGTTAGGGAAAAATTAAAAATTAACTGTTAAAATTTTCTTTTCATTTATTTTTAATAGTTTTAGTTTAACTTTTTAGATATAAAATTTATATAAAAATGTAATAATATTTGTATAAGTAACATTTAAAATTTATATATATATAATTCTTGTTAAATATTTTTATTTAATAAAAAAATTCAATTATCATTTATATAATAGGTTAAATTTTTATTTAAAATTCAGATATAAAAGTAAAAAAGTTAAATTATGACTATTAAAATTAAATAAAATAATAACTTTTAAGTAAACTTTTAAAAAATTTAAATATATACCTTATTTAAAACAAACTTAAAATTTTCTTCAAAAATTAATTTTTAAAATTTTTTAACACTTTTTTAAATTTATAAAAAAAAAAATTTAAAACAATTTGTTTTTTAAACTTGTCAAACACCAACATAATAGAAATATTACTTTAAGAAGAAGCCATCTAATGTAATTGAAAAAAAAAAAAAAAAGAGAAGAAGAAAATACAGGATTCTCGGATCTTACCTCTCCTACTTAACGATAGACAGAGATGGTGTTTATCAAAGGAGATAACCCTGAAGCAAGAGTGCTCTATGCTTTAGTTGGTGCTACTGGCCAACTGAACGGCAAGATTTTTGCAGAGCAAAACAGAATAGTAAGAGTGGCTGAGAGTATTGAGGGTGGGAAGAACTGCATCTCTAGCTTTGATCTCTTTCGAGAGTCACAGTAGATAAGATGCAGGATTCACACCCACTTGTATACATAAACAATAATTGCTTGGCAAGGTCTAAAATTGATTGGGCAAAGCAGGAAAGTCAAGTCGACCACATATGGCAGGTAGGACTTAATTAATGTAGATTACACAATTATACACTTTCAATAATGAATTAAATATTGTGTTCCGTCACTATACACATGTAATTGTTTTAAAAAAAACAAATCTCTTGAGTGAGGGCTCACCTCCAATTGTGGGGCAGTTGTCCCACATTAACTCTGTGTGCGTGAGTTGTAAGGTATATATGAGATTCCAGGTAATTTTAAATTGATCGGTTTTAAAATTGTGCTGTATTTCATCACTGTACTCATGTAATTGTTTTAAAAAATAATAATAAATTAAATATTAGGCTCGAGTTGTCGAATTGCTCAACCATATCCGGCTCTCATTTATTCTGCCTTGCATTTTTTAAGTCTTGATTTATATTTTTTAATTAATTAATTAGAGAAATAAAAATATTAGAAATAATTTTTTAGGTTTAATTTAAGAGGATTGAGTTATAGCTACAGTATAATTAAGTTTTTTGGTATTTAATAATTCAAAGATATAATATAAAATACATTATATTTATTTTAAAGGAATAATACTTA